AGAAATGTACCATCCCATCTCCAGAGTACCCACAACTCAGCGAAGGTGCCAGACTGACTAGCTGGAGATGAATCGATGGGCCACTCAGATACAACAGTAGATGATATAAGAACAGTAGAACAAAACCAGAAAGCTTCCGCTGTCATGAAGCTAAATGATAAACAGGATAAATCAGTATAATATATGATACAGTACAGTTGAGGTATGACACTATCTCAAATGTTGAGACCCTTGAAATAGGAAAATGAAAATAGGAATATGAGACAATTCACGTTCAACACGAAAATGTTATGAGATGAGGAATTCCAAAAATGAATCCATAAAGGTGACTCTAGCTCTAAGTGGGATGGTGGTGGTGGGATCTAGGTAGGGCGTCCCAGGCCCTGGGAATGCAGGTACAGAAGTCTGGGGTGGCAGGGGTGTGCTGTGTTCTCAGAGTAGAGTATGGGGGTGCCAGAGGAGGTTGCTTGTGAGCTTAGAGGAGTAACAGGGAGCCCATCATAGGGGGTCCTGTTAGCCCTTGCAGAGGTTCATAGTTTGCTGGGGTAGAGAGAAGGCCAGAGCAGTTGCAGGGGGCAAGATGAGGAAGGCCTTCTATAGACTCTTGCACTTTATCACTTTCCCCTGCTCTGTTATTATTTTTTCTGGTTAAGGTATATTATATATAGGTTGGCTTAATTAGACCCATCCCTGAATTGTCCCTGAGAATGCCAGGGAGGTCAAAGGGATGGGACCAGAGGGGCACTGCCACAGCTGTCCTGAGTGGCCATGGTGGGTCACCTGCATGGACCCTCCAGCATCATCTCATAGGGGCTACTTCTTAGGTGTTTGCCGCTCACTGTCTGAGTCATTCCTTGGATCACACAGGGGTTACCTCCCCACACTTTTAATAAAGCCACCAAGTTGCAGAGAAGAAAGAGCCCAGCGTCACCCAGGGTGAACTGGACAGAACTAGAAGGAACACACTTCTTCCAGTGGCCCTTCTTGGGTACCCCTTTCTAATGGGCCACCCTCTTGTGCAGTGGTCTTTATGGTACAGATATGTCCATTGCTGTTATAAATTTTTTGTTCTCTTGGGTAATTTGTGCCATACCCTTACTAGTGGAAGGATGGTTACATGGCTCTGAATGGGAACTTTGGGGTCCAAATCCAGGCTCTGCCACTGACCACTTCATAACCTGGGAGTTGCTCAGATTCTTTTTTTTTTAAGATTTTATTTATTTATTTATGAGAGAGAGAGAGAGAGAGAGAGAGAGAGAGAGAGAGAGAGAGGCAGAGACACAGGAGGAGGGAGAAGCAGGCTCCATGCCGGGAGCCTGACGCGGGACTCGATCCCGGGACTCCAAGATCGCGCCCTGGACTACAGGCAGGTGCCAAACCACTGAGCCACCCAGGGATCCCCAGTTGCTCGGATTCTTAATCCTAGGTCCTCATCCGTAAGAGGGGTGAGCACTGTCTGCCTCCCCAGTCTTTGGGGTGTTTGGCCGAGGTCCTAGGCATCAAGTTGTAGCACGGCTGCTGGACAGTAGCTTGGGGGATAGAGCTAGCCAGATATGTCATGTGAAAAGTGGATGGATTTTTTTTTACAAAAGTCACTTTTTTTTTTTTTTTTTTTTGCTTTTCCTGGGCTGTGTGATCCAGATACAGACACTGATATACATTGGCCAGCCCTTTGAGGCCACTCTAGCCTCGGGTAAAAACTACGTTTCCCGCTTAGTTCTCAGGAGTGTCTTGATAGAACACAACTGATAGTCTCAAAGCATTGCTCTTCTGTGATTAGTCATGGATCTCCATTGCATTATTTTAATTAGGCAGCAAAAGATTGCATCAAGTGCTCTCCCAGGCCTGTTTGATAGAGGCTGTCCGTGGTTGCTGAAACATTTATAATATTTATTGCCCGGACTTCTTTAGGGGTAGCTTTTAGGAGGTAGGTTCTTTCCCTGTCTCTCACAGAACCCTGGGAGTATGTCCATAAAAGGCTGACTCTTGATCTCAACCGTGATTCCATTTATTCATTTCAGAGTACCTTATTTAGCACTTACTCTTTTACTGGCTGAGCAATGTGTATTGGTAATGAGTGAAAATACATATCATTTTGGGGGATGGCTCTATCAGCTTTCTTCCTCCTACTCTGGTGGTGCAGAACCCAGCACCATTTTGCTCAGGCTGCCTGGCACAATGATGATGCATTTATGTGCGTCAGGAATCAGTGGAGAAGTATGGGTGGCTGAGGTTATATCCAAGATGTGTAGAAATGTGCAGCCCTGTGTTTGAAAAAAGAGGACACTATATTTAAGAACAAGTGTCCATTGGTCTCTAATTATGACATGTTTGCCTTACATATGAAAAAGTTTTCCCCATACTTAGGACTTGCAAAATTAGTAGAATCTAGAATTTGGGGTTTGTTCTTCTAGAATGATAGTGTCATTGTATTAATGTATTTATACTATTATTTCTCTTTTGCTATTACTATTGAAAGTGTTATTCATGTAAGATACACAGAATTTTAGGAGTGCCTGGGTGTCTCAGTCGGTGAAGCATTTGCCTTCAGCTCAGGTCGTGATTCCAGAGCCCCACGTCGGGCTTTCTGCTCAGCAGGGTGCCTGCTTCTCCCTCTCCCTCTGCCCCTGCTTCTGCTCACTCTGTCAAATAAATAAATAAAATCTTTAAAAAATGATATATAGAATTTCCTTTCTGTTCTTTGCCCAGTTTAGTTTAGTAAAATGTATAGAATGTGTTCAGTGTGTGCCCTGCACTCAGGCGCTGGGGGTGCGGGGCTGAATAAGACACAGTCCTTGTGGGCAGCCAGGGCAGCCCCAGGCTTGTGGACAGATGGCAATGCTGCACAGGTGGGCATGGACAGAAGCACATGGAGAGGGTCTCTGGGAGCATGACGGGGGCTGACTCCAAGCCCAGTTGTCAGAGATGTCATTCAGCTTGAATTGTGAGTTACGGTGAAGAATGGCCAAATGCTGAGAGGCAGTGCGCCCCAGGTCTGGAAAGTATTAGCAAAGGTTTGGCAAAGGCCAGAACTGAAGATTTCTGTGTCACAGAGCCTCACATACAGAGGGGAAGGCAAACCAGAAGTCAGAGAGAAGGGTCAGGTGAGGGGGGGGGGGAGTTGGTTTGGTTCCGTAGGGCTTTCTGTTCCATGGTCTGGAACTTCATCTCTGTTCTGTGGTTGGAGTCCTTGGTGGGTGTGCAGGAAGGGCTGTGGGAGAGTTTATGTGTCAGGTCATCTGGATGGAGGCTGGGGCATCCACATGGATGGATGATGGACCGAGGGAAGGAAAGAGAGGGTGGGTAGGTGAGTGGACGGCTGGTTAGTGGATGGATGGATGGGAGGGTTACCTGAAGGCAAGGAAGTCAGTTTACAGGCTTTCGTCCTTATCCAGGAAAGAAGTCAGGAGGGCCTAAACCAGTGGGGAGATGTTGAAACAGAGAAATATTTAGGAGGTGAAATCAGGTGCTGAGAATCTGAGATGAGTACAGTTGGGGTCATGGAGATGCTGAGGAGGCTATCAAGTCTCTGACTTCATGATTGGGTGGGTAAAGAACTGGGAAGGCTGGAGCTGGGACCCATTTGATGGGAAAGACAGTAAGTCCAGGTCAGCACATTTGGATCAGAGGCCAAGCAGATGGTTGGATACTCAGATCTCAAGATCAGGGAATGGTAGCGGATGTAGAAGAATGAAGAAGTAAGAGTGGAAGGTATAGATTTTGGCATTAAAGGTTTACAGAAATCCCCAGGGGAAGGTTCTATGCAAGGATGCATCTAGAAGGAGAAGAATGGGACTATGAGCAGAGCATTGTGGAATGCCGGCGTATGGAAGATGTGGATGGGAGAGAATGCCTCACGGACACTAGATACCAGCCTATTAGCAGAGCCGTATGCAGCATCGTCCAGAAGAATGCCGACTGAGATCCACCATCAGCTGGGCCTCATGGAGCTCACTGGTTTCCTTGGTGAGAGCAGGTTTCTGGTGACAGGTGCCATCAGCCAGTTTTCAACAGATTTGAGAGGACGCAGGGAGGGAGGCTGCAGGCTGCAGAGGGAGACGGCTCTCTCACCCAGCCCGAGAAGGAAGGATGTGCCAAGCCCCTGGGAGGAGCCAGTGTTTTCTGTGGTGCCACGTGCAGTGGCTGTGCCCCTGGTTCCCTGAGAGGCTCGCACCCCTTAGAAACTGCTTGGTGAACAGTCGACAGACAGCTAGCAGAAGTCGGGCAGATTTATATTTGATCGATGTTCGTGCTATTGCATGTCATGGTTTCACTTGTGCTAACCAGGGAGTGAAAAATGTAGCATGCCCGTATGTCCATTACTTTGTTTTAACAAATACATCGTGGGCCCGTTCATCCCATCAACGAATGTTCACATGTTGCTAACACGTGAATCCTCTTAAAAGAGCAGTGTGTTCCATTTCTGTGTAGCTCTGTTCTCACATCCCCTCACGTCGGCCTTGCACGCTCCTGCCTGGGTTAGGCGGTCCCAGCACAGATCTTGCTGCCTTGCCGAGTGGCATTTTGCCTTCTCCTGGCTCTCGGGACAGCGCAACGCTCTTGGTGAGATGCTGCAGGCCCTTGATGCCCTGGCAGCTGCTCCAGGGCCAGTGCTTGTCCCTCCCTGAGACCACATGCTTGGGGTCCTGGAAGGAAGACCCAGCTCCCGTCTCCTGAGCACTGGGGTACACACCTCTGTGCTCTCCACATGTTCTCTTTCCTCCAGGCAGCTGGACACACCCTGACTCTCTGTAGGCACCTGCTCCAGCGTCGCTGCTCCTGGGGCCTCCCAGGCAGAGCTGGTTGTTCTTCTCCCTCTACCGCAAGCCCCCCTTCTGCCGCCACCTGCAGTCAACAGGTGTCTGTGTGTATAGGCTGCTCCCCCAGGGGCTGTGCACTCCCATCTGGCATCGTTGCACACCTGGCTCTGTGCCTGGCACTTCATTCACACACAGGAGCCGTTAGCCTCATGTGACGCTCACCTTCTCCCTTCTTTCCAGGGAAGCAGTTTAAGTGCACAGTGTGTGACTACACGGCGGCCCAGAAGCCCCAGCTGCTGCGGCACATGGAGCAGCACGCCTCCTTCAAGGTGAGAGGGCTCGGCACGTGGTGTGCAGGTTCGCGGTGGAAGAATCTCGCTTGTCCAAATGAAGGTGTCTTATTTGGGGGGATGTTCCCCTCACTCCCGGATCCCCTTAGGTAGGCTGCATGGAGTCCAAGGTATAACTCACTTCATGGCGTGCTCTCTCCTTCCAGAGGTAGCATGCACAGCTTCTCTGTCATTTGGAAACCAGGTGCAGGGGGGCACATGTAAGAGCATGCAGGCTAGAGAAAAGGCCTGCTCTTACTCTTAAAACCTGGAGGGATTTAGAGGAGAGGATGTGAGCGCTAAGGATGAGGGGGTGGGCCTTCGGATCCTGGACTGCCTCGGGTCAGTCCCCTGATACAACAGGCATGACAATGCCCAGCTGGAGGTGGTGGTTATGGGGCACCCTTGGCAGTGCCCGGCACATTGCAGGGGCCCAGGAGATGGTGGCTGTCTGTATTCGTGTCATAGCTGTAACTGAGATCCCCCGAATGTAGATGCTAAATATGCACCCAGTGGCCGCTTCTGCTGCGGTCTTTGACAGTAAGACCTGTGCATGGTCCTGTGAATTTGTTTGATAAAAATGCCTGCCTGGTGCTGACAACTCAGTCCTTCAGATTGCTGCTGCTGCTGCTGCTGCATCCACACAGGCAAACAGAAAGCATGATGCTCTAGAGTGTTTGTTGAAATTGTGTCCACTGCTGAATCCTGGAGAACACAGAATGTGGGAGGGGCTGTGGGACGCCACACTCATGGTTGGAAGTTATTGATCACCTGCCGTATGACTGTACTGTGCCAGGAACTTCACTCCTGTCAGCGCTCCCCTCCCCCACGGTGGACACTGTCATCTGTATCTGACACATGGACCCGAACCTCAGAGTAGGTACCCAGTCCCCTAGTAGGCTTCTTGGCCGCACCTGTTACCATGCTGACCAACCTGTGCTGTCACCACTTTGGAGGGGATGAGGACTCTCCCATCAGCAAGCTCTTCTGAGGTTTCATAGGCAGGACTGGCCTGTCACCTCATGGGAGTGACAGTGTCTTTGCAGGGAGCTTCTTGAGTGCCACTCAGACTTTGTATGTGATCAAAATGAAGAGCTTTATCTTGCATTTCGCAGCCACAGATGTGCTCCTTTGGGGGACCCTAGGTTTCCACAGACTAGCACAGTAGGGTGCTAAGAGAACAGAAAGCCGAGGCAGCTCTCACTTCATAGATGGGCAGGTGGGACCTGGCCGGGTTCTTTATTTTCCTCCCATCCCAGAACTGGAGCTACACTTTTCATCCTGGGTTGTCAGCACAGGATGTCTTCCTTCCCCAGCCATACCCGAACAGTCTCTCTGCCCCGAAATCCTCATTGTTCTCCGGCTCAGATCTATGGAATCTTTGGCTTGTGTGCATAGGAAGTGGATTTGGGGCTGTCACCCTCGCGTGTAGCTCTCAACCATTTCCTGCCATCACACAGCTCTGTCAGTTTTCTGTTTACTGCTCTGCTATCTCCAACTTATAGCTTGAAACTACACAAGCTATTGAATAGTAGAGCATTCCAGCACGGGTCTCACTAATCTAAAGGCAAGGTGATGGCAGGGCTATATTCCTTCTGGAGGCTCTGGGAGAAAATGCATCCTTGGCCTTTTCTGGGTTCTGGAGGCCACCGGCATTCCTTGACTTTTGGCTTCAGTCTTCCATCCTCCAAGCCAGCAACGTAGCATCCCACCTCTCTCCCCTCTGCTTCCCTTCCGCCTTTCACCTGGGAGGACCCTGGTGATTTCACCTGTTTTCACCTGTGAGCCCATTGGATGCCCCAGGAGAATGTCCTTACCTCAAGGTCAGTTGATGAACAACCTCAATTCCACTTGTAGTCATAACTTCTTTTTGCCACATGAGCTTCTAGATCTCAGGTCGAGCTTTGCAGGGACATTATTCCACCCACTGCATTCCCCCACTCTGTTTTCTTCCTTTCACATCTACTCCGTGGTAGAAAATTCTCACCAAAACCTGAAAATCCATAGTCTACATACTTCCATGCTCCCTCTGCATACCAATGGCAAACATTCCTAAGAAACCAAGCCTCTCCTGTTTCACTAATCCTACACAAAGCGTCAAAATCTTCACACAGACACTACTAATCTATTGCAGTTGGCCTGCAAGAGGAAACCAGTTTGCTTTTCTAGATGTGGATACATAATTTGCAATATATAATTTGTGTCAGGAAACACTGTAATAAGAGCAAACTCTTGTATTGCCTTTTAAAATTACATGTTGTTATTTATATATTTATTTTAAAGATAAAATTAATATGTGTTTACCATCTAAGATTTGAAAAGTGCTTTTCATTCCCTTTGTCTGCAGAATTTTGGGGTACGTTATTTTTTTAGGCCTAATTGAGGTCATACTGTAAATGAGCATTTTTGGGTGGAGATTAAAACATCAGCTTTACCACCGATAAAGCTCCTATTAAAGAATGTAGCTTAAATGAGTAGCCAGATGGTTTGCCAAGAATACTTCGCTTTTGAGTTAGAATAACCTCCCTGTCAAAGGCAGGGCTGGAGAGCCTGCCTGATTTGAACATTATAAATATCGCCCCCCCCCCCCTTTCTTTTAAATCATCACTCCCTGGGCATTTTTCCCATTTCATGAAAATATACTTACTGTAAAACTAATTCTAATGGCTGCTTTAGGATGAGTATCATAGTTTAATTACCCATTCCCTCATAATTGTACAGTTTGGTCCTTTGTGGTTTTTGCTGTTACAAGTGACTCTGCGATGGACATCGTCATGCCAAAAACATTTTCAAGTCATCCTAAAATTGAAAGGACTATAAGGCATGGGGTGAAGCCCATCAAACCACTGAGAATTCACAAGCAGTAAAGGTGTTATATGTGCCTCTTGCAGCCATAATTAAAATGCATTCCTGAGGGCGGAAACAAAGCTATCAATCTTGAACAAGTGCCAGAGAAGATGCACCAGAGGAGCTGCCGCTGAGCCAGGGATCTCCCCACCAAATGGGCTTGTTCCCTCCCCCTGGCTGTTCAGCTCTTTGCTTTCTCTCAAATAAATAATCCCACACGCTGCTCAGTGAGGCAGTGTGATTGCAGGAGGGACTCACCTTACAGTTTTCTCTCTCTGTTGGGCTCCTGTGACCCCACAACTCTGTTGATAGAACTGTTCTCAATTATGGGGCTGGGTGACTCAATGGTAGTCCCCCTACACATTAATCAATGGTGGCTTTATTTCACTTGCAACATCTTTATTCTAACATAATTCTTTTTTTCTTAAAGATTTTATTTATTTATTCATGAGAGAGAGAAAAAGGCAGTGACATAGGCAGTGGGAGAAGCAGGCTCCCTGTGGGGAACCCAATGCAGGACTCATCCCAGGACCCCGGGATCACGCCCTGAGCCAAAGACAGACAGATGCTTAAGCACTGAGCCACACAGGTGCCCCTATTTTAAAATAATTCTAAACTCGTATGTAGTCCGTTGGATTTCCAGGTGCTGTTCCCCCATCTTCCCTCCATAATAGCATCATCTTTAACCGTAGTGTGTTATCAAAACTAGGAAATTGGCTTTGGTATTAACTAAACTGTGGGCCTTAGTTGGATTTTACCAGTCTTCCCCCCCTTTTTTTTTAAATTAATCAAATATATTTAAAGTAGTTTTCAGTTCACAGTGAAATTGAAAGTACAGACAGTTCCTGTAGACTGTCTGGCCCTGTTTCCCACCCACACCCTCCCCCATTGTCAACATCCCCACCAGAGTGGTACATCTGTCACAATCGAACCTATACTGGTACGTCATACTCGCCCAAGGCCCTGGTTCTGCATCAGGCCTCCATGTTGGTGCTCTACATTCTGTGGGTTTTGACAGATGTATCCTGACACGTATCCACTGCTCTGGTTCTCCAGCAGAGCCGTCTCCCTGCCTTGAAAAATCCTCTGTGCTCCACCTGTTCATCCCTCCCTCTCCCTACTCCCCTGGCAACCACTCATCCTTCTGCCGTCTCCATAGTTTTGCCTTTTCCAAAATGTCCTAGAGTCAGAATCCTACAACTTTTCAGACAGGCGTCTTTCACTTAGTAGTATGCATATAAGGTTCCTCCCTGTCTTTTTAGGACTTGATAGTACACTTCTTTTTAGTGCTGAATAATATGCCATTATCTGGATGTGCCACAGGTTCTTTATCCATTCACCTACTGAAGGACATCTTGGTTGCTTCTGAAGTTTTGGCAGTTAGGAATAAAGCTGCTTCAACACTGTGTGGGGTTTTGTCCGGACCTAAGTTCCCAACTCCTTTAGGTAGATACTAAGGAGCGTGATTGCTGGATTATATGGTAGGAGTATGGTTAGCTCTGCGAGAAACTGCCACACTTCATCCTACGTGGCTGTACCATTCTGCATCCCCACTAGCAGTGCCTGAGAGTTTCTGTTGATCCACAGCCTCATCGGCATTTGGTGTTTTCAGCATCTTGGATTTGGGTCCTTCTAATAGATGTGAAGATGATACCTAATTCTTCTAAAAATGTGAAGATGATACCTCATTCCTGCTTTAATGTGTATTTCCCTGAAGACATAAGCGGTGGAGCATTTTTCATGTACCTGCTTGTCATCTGTATATCTTCTTTAGTGATGTGTCTGCTCAGGCTTTTCGCTCTCTTTGTTTACTTGGGTTATTCATTTCTCAACTTACTGTTGAGTTTTAAGAGTTCTTTATATATCTTGGATAATAGCCCCTTATCAGATACATATTTGCAAATATTTTCTCCCAGACTACAGCTTAGCCCTTCATTGTCTTGAGTAATTTTATTTTTTTTCAAAGATTTTATTTATGTTTTTGAGAGAGAAAGCAAGTGAGACAACCCGAGCTGGGGGGAGGAGCAGAGGGAGAGAGACAAGCAGACTCCCTGCTGAGCAGGGAGTGTGAAGTGGGGGACATCGTGACTTGAGTTGAAGGCAGATGCTTAACTGATTGAGCCACCCAGATGCCTTTGAATAACTTTATTTTT